ATAGATATCAGTCAGCTCTTGGAAAAGTATCCAGAAATATTAAAAAACAAAAAACTATTTTAAGTCATGTTGAACTGAAAACCACCAAAAGTGGAAATGTTAATTACAAGAGAGAAATTAAGGTAGGAGGTTTTTCCAGTTTTTTTTTTCCGTTTTCTAAATGTAACGAAGCAGATTCAGATTAGCAGCATACCTGAATGCTCCGAGTTTGAGGCAGTTTTTTCTCCACTTCAGCCAACAGAGTAACGGTCTGAATTAACTGTTTCTCCAGCTCCTTCACTGACCATTCAGGATACTTCATTTTCTAAAGCAAAAAAATAAAAAAGGTGAAATGTACCTTTTTTTGTATTGATTCAGTTTCTTAAAGTCTGCAACTAAACACAGAGATGATGATGTGACATTCCCCTACCACGTATTTGAACTGGTGGACACGGCTGGTCAGATGATAAGCACTCGATGAATTCAGTTTGTCTGAACACAGCAGACAGTAGACCTGTTGTTTCTTTTCACAGGAAACCAAAACCAGCTGATTTAACCCTGTCAGTTGACAACAAGATTCAGAAGTCTGAAAAGAGTCCAGCTCACACAGAGGTTATATCCAACAGCGACAAATTAACGCTCACCAACTTTAGGGAGATTTGATTCTTTCTGGGGCTTCTTGATCTCTTCAGGGTTCTGGTGAGGAACGGTAGCGAGTTTCCTCTTCCGAACAGCCGTTTCATTATCTGGGTTTCTCCCTATTGACGCCTTCATAGATTGTCCAGTGTTTATGCTTTTGATTTGTGGTTTAGCTGCATTAGAAGCAGCAGAAGATGTTTTCTTAAGGTCTGGTGATGGTGGGGCTTTGGATTCTGTATTGGCACATTTAGGAGGATGTTCAGGTTTATGTGTCGCTGCAGATCTTGTGTCTGAGGAAACTTGCAGTGTCCTGTTCTCGTCTGAAGGTGTGAAGCTTTTACTGCTTGGTGGTATGGATGTTGTGGGGGAAGTGATTTCTGACGGCCTGTTAGAAGTTGTTGTACAGTTAAATGTGTTTGGTAAATCCCCTCCCACTTCAGATTTGGCTGCTTTTTTTCCGGAAAGGTCAGGTTTGCATTTTTTTTGTGTGCTTTGAGGACTTGAAGAGCTATGATGTTTCCCAGCTTTGTCGCTTCTGACAACAGGGGTGCATGTTTTGGGCTTCCCTTGATCCATTTTGCAAATGGCTCCTGCTGTTTTAGATGTGTCTGGAGACACGCCAGACTCTTCTGAAACACACACCACCTTAAAAAAAAAAAAGACACACAGACAAAAGATCCTACATTAGCAGGATATTTGCTTTTTCATTTATTAAAAAAAAAAAAAACATACAAAATCCCACCGGTCACCAGGCTTGTGCAAGGTAATATCTTTTGGAGTCTTATAGCTTCCGTTTTCTTAAGACTTAAATTTTAAAAATCTTTCCCAAGACGACGCTCAGAGATCATCATTTAATTTTACCATTGTAGGAAATTAAACGTCATCTCTTCAAAGGTACAACTTTTATTAACAGCATGTCTAACATACATTATACAGCCCCCTCAAAAATCCATGGAAAAGCTTTGTCAGTCCTAAGGGCTTAACACACCGGTTCAATACCACTTTTCAAACAGCGATCCGATTTTTTTCCATGTCACAATGACTGTATAGAGACTGCAACTCTATCCCACACAAATTGAAAGAATTTCCCACATTTGACTTGGATAGATTCTGAAAAGTTATCAAAATGAAAAAATAAAAAGAACCGGCGCATTCAATAGAGCAAAGACTATGTAGGATCTCAAACCAAAACAGATGCTCATATGTCTATATTAAAAACATAAAAACTATATTGAAAGAAATGTGAAAATGTGCTTCGCTTACCTGAACTTTTTCCCCTTTATTATTTTGTTTTTATGTGAAGCTCAAAGAGGATCACCATTATAATATATCTGTTTTCTGTCCTCCTGAAGTGTTTGAGTAATTGTATATAAATATATCTGTATAATGTTACAATGTATACAGCTGTGTGTATGCATTTATAATCACCTTTTATCTGTAAGCTTGCTTTTAAAGGAATAGTACACCCAAAACATGATTAGCCTTCATTTTCTACTCACCCCCATGCTGAACAACACTCTGGAGTACTTTTTTGATATC